ATAATAAACGTTTCGCTTTTGTATTCCATATTGTAAATTTCGTTATCGCCTAAATATAACATACATATGAAGTGAGTGCTGGAAAAAATATGGGCAATTTGCAAAAAAATTTTATAAAGTAAAAATATTTTTTGGTAAAGCGCCATATTATCTCTTTAATAAATTAAGAGACCTGCACGATATCCATATTTAAAGCACCTTTTCATCCAATTGAATTAATAAAACGTTAAAGCAAATATCACCCAATCGTTTTTGATATATACAATAAGAGTTTTAGTCTTAAAAAAATTTTATGTTGCACAAAAAGATCTGGCAATCAAATCAACTTTTGCTCGCCGAAAAACTTTTGGTTCAAGAATACCATTTATAAGCTAACCAGCTGCAAGATTATTATCATGAAATGATCTATCAAATCCGAATCCATTTATTACCTTAGATAAAGACATCTTTTCTGACTTTTTCAAATGTTGATTGCAAGTTATAGAAATTGATGCCTGGAATTATTCATCAAATTGGGTATCGAACAGTCTTCTGAATTGCGAAGTATTAATAGTAATATAGCTGAATGGTTTTTTGAAAATTTTGAAGCACTGAAAAAAACATTAAGTCTATTCATTCCTCTTATTCGATTTGTCGTGCTGTATTTTTATGATAAAGCTATCATTCCTTATAATATTTATGAAGAAGTCACTAAGTATTATTTACAAACATTACTTTACCGAAAAAAAATAGCCGTATGGAAACTAACTTAACGAAATCATGCAACAATTATTGCCAATTGGATATATTTCATATAACAATAAGTATAGGTTTTAATTAAAACTTTTTTGTCTGATCACATGACAAATGTTTGGGCAAGAACTAATTGTGTAGTAACCGGTTAATCTTAATCGGTTCTAACCGCTCTATGATTAATATAATTACATTGGCTATGTGTAAATTTGGTCATTCATATATTTTTGGTAAAATCGTTATTGGAGAAATTGAGATCTTTGTAGTTGAAAGATGATTGTTATATTTCATTATATAATAATATTATTCACTTTTCTTCTAGATAAATATGGTACGTAAAGTGAACTTTTAAATAATAATACAATTGAAATAAATAAAAGACTTTGAATTGGAACGAAATAATTATTTCATAGATAACCAAATGCAAGTAACTTAATAAATCGTTCTATCCACAGTCAATGTCGGAAAATCCAATTAATTATCAAATGAAGCAGTAAGATTTAGAGAGTTCCCCGATTAGCATAACAATTAATACAATTGTTAGAAAAATTAATGATGATGCGTTCGAACTTATGTAAATATTTTAAATGTACCTTGATTGTGTTGCTTGTTCATATGAAAATACCAGATCTATTATATTATAATTAACTTTCTCATTTTAAACCATCTGCTTAAACTTACCAAGAAAAGGAAATATTTGCCATATATGCATATCTTTATTTTCCTAACAAATATATATCTATTATTGTAATAACATATTTGCCTAATTATTTGCCGTAATATCGTTAAAATAATATTTTTCTTATTATTTTATTTAATTGGAGACATTTTTATCCGGATTTGATTATAAATCGGACACGTTCCTTTAGCTATTATTTTTTCTGGATACCGCTAAAATAAATTTGCCAAAGAAAAGCTCCAATATGGGCTTAATTTTTTAGATATAAAAATGATGGTTCCCGTCAGGTAGAAAAGAATCGGAGTAATATAATTTTCTTAGATTTCAACGAACTTATTGTAACGATGAACATATCCAATAGTACTGATAACCTACGTTGAGACAGTTAATAAATCAAAATATTCTGATTATTTTATATCATTTATAAACATTAAAGAACTGTGCATTATAAATGTATTTAATTTATTTTTATTCGATTTTCTTAATTCGAATCGAACCAATCCTATCTGTGCACTCGTCCTTGCACTTAACAAGGAAATCCTAAAAGTTGCTGATTCGATGATAAAGAGATGCAACGTTCATGACAACTGGAAAAGAATCCCCCTATTTGGTCTGATGCAACATAATTCACGCATTGATTTGTCAAAAATGGCTGAACACAAATTTTGTACTAGTCTTGATACACTGAGTATTTTGAAATATTCTCAATAAATCTCGACTGTCAGATCAAGGAATATCGGCTCAAATGGGAATTTTTTGTGGAATATCAACCTCTATGATCTTTACATGATTCCTCTCCCTCTTGTGCTGTTGCTGTCAAAAGTGGTAATGAAACCTACTTAAATCTGACGAGGCACAGTTTCAGCAACCATCCAGATTATGAAATAAATATTTTATTGGAATATTGTCGGAAGGAAAACTTAACATAAATATACCTCCCCTCCCCCTAATGATAGAGTTTGGTTTTTCTTTTGAGTTATGATATCTTCAGCAAATTTCCTGATTTATATTACATTAATTTTCTAATAGTTTTACATGCGCAATTTCTTGATTTTTTTTTAAAAAATAATTCTAAATCTACTTTCGTAAATCTTATCTTTATTTGTAAAAGAGAAACAAAAAACAAAAATGAATAAAATAGAGTCTTTTCATTATATTACATTCAAAACTTCAATCAATACAAAAAGTTCCTAATTGAGATAAAAATTAATTTCTTAATAATCATTTGTATATTAAGTCATCTTTCACTTTAATTTTTGACAAGAATTTATTAAACTTTAGGTAATTTGGCTTTTAAATAATCAGGATAAATAAAATATAAGAAATTAGTAAAATTGAATATTATAACAGTTAACGAGTAGGTAAAGTTTATTACAATTTTAAATAATTAAAATATTAATTTATTTTTGTTTAATGAAATCTTTATATTTATGCTTATGTGTTATCTAAAGGCTATATAAAATATGAAATATCAATCTTTATTTTTTTTTCCTAATTATAAACCAAATATTACTTCTGTAAGTATAAAAACATGTATAAAATTAGAGCCCCAAATCAGGTCGGGTCGTCCTGATACCTGACCCGACACGACCCGACAAAACTCAGGTCAATAAACCATTTCTTCTAGAACGATAACGAATCGTTCTTGTTGAACATAATGTATCGTTGAAATCGAACGATGTTAAATCGTTCAATTAAAACGATTCGGTCAGGTCAAATGGAAAATCGGATTTTTGTTTGACCCGATCCGACCCTCTTAGGTTGGGTATTTAGATTGACCGATCCGACCCGACCTGTTCGCTGTTTAATTGATACTTCGATATATTTTGATAGCCCAAAATTGATGTTGTTCTGATTAATGTACAACTCTTCATTAAATGAATTAATTACCAAATCACGATCACGATTCCTTTATCATGTAAACATAGGACATTACCAGTCAACTGACGCGCAAGGCTATATTTGTTCTTCCAAGTTTATCAAATTTTTATTTTTTTTTTTAAATATTTTTGAAGTGTGCATCAAATAGGTACATTCCGAATAATAATTTGGTTACTCATAGTAATGAAATGATTGAATTGTCTTTTACAAAATTTATAAACGAAAATAATTAATCACACCTGACTCTAGACTAATTAATCCATAGAAGCGAATAATATTATCATGAGCTAAATTTTTATAATAAAAATATAATAAATAAATAAATAAACATATAGTTCTTAAACAACAATGATATTTAAGATACCTATGAAAAATCTCTTAAATTAGCGTTGATATTAAAAATATTCCAAATCCTCCGGAATCAATTTTTTGAACGTTGCGAAAATTTTTATATTCATTAATATTTTATATGCTTTTTAGCAGTAGCTTTATAAATCAAAAAAGCCATTCATTTGTACTTTTAATACTTTGTAAATCTTGCACTTCGATATTTTCACAACTCCGAAATACTATATTTAATAATAACTAAAATTGTTAAGTTTTGCACTTCATGCTTAAAGTACTATCATTCGCAAGCATTTTTTTTATAATTAAAGAAACATGCCTAAGCAAACTTTATTATTATGGTTATAATGATCTAATCATATATACAATATATTTATTTAAATTTTTTTTTTTTACATAACTGGAAAGATATTTTTGATTAGAAGCAGTTCTTTACAGCCATCACTTGAGAGAAATGAAAGATTTTGCAGTAGAAAGGAGGAAATACCAAAATATAAAAATATCTTTGTTTAATATGATATTTAAAGTAATATATATCCAGATTTAGCATTAACTCCAAATTTTGCAAAAGTCCATATAGCGAATGAATACTTTCATACTTTATATTTATATACTAAAATACAAAGCTTCTTTCGTTTGAAGAAACTTTCGTTTTAGCGATCAAAATTTTTGTTTTTGGTCCTTAACGTTAAAAGAAAATCATATTTCTTTCGTTTTATAAACTTTTTAACTGGGTATGACTAATTTAGAAGTCTCCGTTCGAAAAAGTATTTATATATGAATATCCGTTCATAAATCTTATTAGGATATTCGAATATATCTCTCGAGATTACTTTTCTTATATTTGATTATAAATTCGCACACACCAAAGAATTTTGACTTTCCGATGATCTAAAAATAAAAAATATAAAATGAACTTCCTTTAATAAAATTTTCCATTCAATTATTACCTCTCGGTTAGAGTTTAAGTTCCATTTCAATGCGAAGCATTTTTTTTTTTGGGAATTAAAGATGCGAACTTTTATGATATTGAGAGATTTTTACATTGTATCTATGTGTTTATTTGTTAAAAAAAATAATATTGATAGAATTTGCGAAAATAAAATGAAGTTCTTATAAATATTCTTGAGATAATTCTTTATTGTTAGAATGTCTTTAATAATTTTTGTCTTGTTACAAAAATAAACATTCCAAATTACAAATTTGATAATCGATAAAATAAATTTTCCTTGCCATCTCGCAAAAGTAGATTGCCAAAGCATAAATCGATTGAAGCTTTATAGCATTAAGATATGTAAAATGTTGAAGGCCGACTAAAATTATTTACAAATAAAGTTTGGCAAGCTTTACGGTTTCATATAATTTACTTAAATTCTGTTTGGAAAATTATTCTGCGTTTTGATTGATCTGTATCACGAGAACCTCTCCTTCTGCGACGTACCAATACTTCCGAAAACACCTCCACATTTTCGACGAGGATATGTGTGCTGAGGATAGCATATTTGACCATTGAAAGAAGGGATAGGGCAGCTAATTTGTTGAAATCTTTGACTTTTATCTTGCAACGGGATATCGAGTTAACTAAAACTTTCGTACCAATGACATTATCATAGTTAAGGCTGTGAGCGCCATTCAAACGCTAATTTACTTTCTACCTTAGATATCACATGAATTCTAAGTGAAGACGTGCTGCAAGGCATGCTATACGGAAGAAGTTCACACATTATCAGAAAGCTAAAACATTAAAGCGAGAGCTATAGATAATTAGTCAGCTTAAAAGGGATATCGCCGTATTGAAATGTGTATAGAAGTCTGTGATGCTCCTTTTTTTTTTTACCTCCAATCATTAACATTATTACATTCTCCATTTGCATAACTGCAAAATAGTAAACAAGAGAAAACAAAGAATTAATATATTCTTGGAAGTTCCATGGGTTTGTTAGTAGCATAAAAATAGAAACTCATGAAAGCGGTAAGATTGGTTGCTGAACACGACAATTCTCAACCTCCAGAATACGAAGGGGAGATCGTACAATTTTTTTACCATAAAAAATGCGAGGAAAGTCGATATTATCGGCTGTCTCGTAAAAAAATTTTTTTTTTTTTATAAAGAACGGACCGAATTCATTATCTCTTTTTATACCAAGACCATCCATGGTTTTTTTTTCATGGATAATATTATGAATATTATGTATGTATACTCGGACGCTAATCCTCGATTTGTCGGCTCCATGTAGGATTATTAAGCTATTTAGTAATGCACTCTCCCATGGAATCGAAGTTTATAGTTCATTGTGTGATCAAGATTCAAGTTTCTGTTGGTAACTTACGAGAATTTGCATTTATAGAAGTTGATAAATACTTCTTTTATTTAACTTCTCATATTTAATTTCTGCCGGGAAAAAATCAATTTTACTGATTTCAGGTTGAAATGTGTCGGATTTAGTAACCAAATTGTTATGCTAATATTATAATATTATAGATTTCTAAAAACGACTGATGAGAAATTGAATTTTTTTTTCCATTGTAAGCTACGCCGCATGCAAATTGCGTCTCAATTAACATAAATGTGCAAATCGGGTTTTAAAGATTCGACCCTATTATCGTCCAATATTTGTTCACAATGCTTAATTGCTTTTTTTTATTAAATATTCATAATGCTTGGCCACACTTGTGGCTTCGTCAATAGAAACGCACCATCTTATTTATTATGACATACGGTACGTTTCTATTGACAAGCCTCAAATTGTTTACGTGCCAACCGGGTAGCGAATAACCTTGTTCCTACTTTAAAACAATCCGTTTTCAAAAAGCATCCAAAAGTTCCGGAAGTTTTTGAGGATAAATATTTTTCAAAGAAAGAAAAGGAATAATTTACTCGAATTAAACGAGATTCTTTACTATTTATAATTCAATACAAAGACAAGAATAAAGTTAAAAAAGTTTTATTATGATTATTATTGTAAATATAAATATGGGAGATTTGCTATTTAAATCAAGTTGCGAACATAGTAAATCATATGATCCGTAACGTAATTTAAATAACAATCTTCTCATATATGCATAATATAGAATTGCTAAATTAAGTTAATTCAACATATACAAAAGAACTTGAACGGTATTGTTAATTTATATCATTCCATGATTGCAAATCTCGATTAAATATACATCAACTTAAAAGAACGCATCTATGAAAATATATTTTTTTAAATAATGATATTCGAGTTACTTTTGCTACATTCGAACATTTCTAATATTTCAGCCAAATGAGATCTTGTGAACTTAATTAAATTAGAGCTTTATTTATTAATAAATTGATTTTTCATAAAATAATTAAACAAAATAACATAAAATGCGTAGAAAAATCTACATTCTAAAGCTAAATTAATTTTTTAATTCAGTCTTACAAAGGAAAATAAATAATCTTTCGCGTACATTCCAAATACTTAATTTCATTATCGAAAATTTTAAACCTTTATTAAGAATTTCATTTCCACTTTGACACTAGAATTTTCCATCGTTCTTGAAAAAAAATGTTGACTAAAAAATTCGTGGAAATGATTGAGAAATAATATGAAAACGCTTGAGAAAAGTGCATTTATAAATTCTTAAAGAATTTGTTAACAAGGGTAGAACAACAATTACATTTATTCGATTGTTATATTTTCGTTGCATAAAATAACTAAATTAATTAAAGTATGCCAGGTAAATTAAATTTTGACAAAATAAGCAACACATCCATATAATCACATATTGATTTAAAAATTTGATTTAACAAGAAATTATTTTTTTTTTAAAAAAAAGGTGAACCCTGCGTTAAATTTTATAGAAATGGCAATAAAATATCTTGGAAAATTTGAAAGCAGTTTTTTTATCGTTATTTCATTTCAGAGTTATCACTCGTTAAAATGATTACTACATTTTCATAATGCTTACTTATAAATACAAGTATCTCGAATTGTGAATGTAAACCAAATCTGTTATATACATATTTTATACTCGTTCACATTTCTTTTTGCTATGAACTATTATTTAATATTGGAATAAAAAGTACTAACAAAGTAAGTATTCAATTGAGTGATTCAATTGAATTGAACATGCCAATAAATTCAACAAAACGAACGTTATGAAAATTGTTTTCGTATAATTTATTCTCAAGAATATATTTGCAAATTAAACAATTCACTTTTGCTTTTTTGATATTGAAATATACTGTCTATACTTCCCTGTGAAGTTGTTTACGTGAAATTTTGTTCGCTTTTATATAATTAAATCAAAGTATGGATTTAAGGAACATATTTGTTTTAGTTAAGAAATTTCACTAGGTCGTAGAAAATATCATTCCTGATATATACAATACATACATTTAGCTAAGTATAATAATTCTAGCTTATTGACATTTTTTTTTGTTTTCAAAATGTTGGAATGGTTATCCAACAGTTTATAGGTAACTGCTAGAATTTATGCAAAAGCCACATTAGCATAAAATAAATTTTCAAAGAAATATATTAAACCATATTCAAATAGTGTTTCCGTTTGAAAATAGAATATTCAAATATTTTTGCAATAAACATAATTCAAGTATTCGAAATTATATAATTAGTATTATAATTTTCAAATATCAAAAATCAAAAATCAATAATACCTGAAAATCGAAAATTAAAAAACAGTACAATTAAGATTAACCAATAAAAAAAAAAAAATAAAAAAAAAATAAATCAATCAAAATGAAATTGAATTCGATATTTGAAATGAATTTTTATATCCGAAATGATTTCAATATTCGTTTGAATTATTTTTAAAAAAGCTTTAATATTTGAAGTGCTATTTGAATTTCAAACGGAAACCCTATATTCAAGTGTGCGTGAAAACGGACAACATTAATCACTTGTCGCATTAAGTCAAAGGTATTGAAAATTGAAGTTTGGATAATATTTTTAACTTTGTAACTTGATTAATAGCAAACGACAACTAATATAACATTCTATTTATAAAATAGTGTAAGTTATAAGGATTTTCAGTACAATAGGCGAACTATTATGACATTATTACAAGTGGAAAATTTAGCTTTACTGAACAATTTCAGTCTTTGTTGTTTATACAGTTATGGAGAATGTTTTGAAATTCTTATAGAATTATGTATGTAAAATATTGATGGTTAGGTATATTTATAGGTAGGAACTGACATGAATTCTGGGATTCTTTATTCATTCCTAAAACGCCAAATTCATATAAAGAATTAAATTAACTTTTTTGCTACAACTTTGATAGAACCACAAGTCTATACAGTAAAATCAATGAAGCTTCAGATTGCAACATCATTTCTATTTATAAAAAAATTGAGTTCGATAAAAAAGTATCACGTGATTAATTATCAATAAATGTTCATCAACGATCCATTACAAGAATGGGTTAGATCCTTTTTTAAATAGCATATTTATGGAAATTCATTAAGCCATATTACAATATGGAAAAAAATTTAAGCCGAGGGCTGAACTGTCCTTGCATAAAAAGAGAATATTATACTTAGAACAATTGTAAAACTCTTATTTACATAATGGTTTTAAGAAGAAATTTAGAAAAAGCATTAACAGACTTGGAAATTAGAATTAAGGAATTAGAACAAAGTAACGAAGGGTTACGTTTACAATTTAAAAATTTGGAGGAAAAGTTTAAAAAGCGAGAAGAAGAAACCAAAACCAAGCAAGAAACTATTAATAAATTAGAAGAAATGATTAAAGAGCGAGAAGAAGAAGCCAATATCAAACAAGAAACTATTAATAATTTAGAAAAGGTCATAGAAAACAACCATGAACTAGAAAAAAGGATCAGAACCCTTGAATCATTTATTTATGATGATAATGTTGTTAGTTTAACATTACAGATACAAATAAGGATGACATTTTAAATGCCTTAGGCGGATTGCAAAGATATCGGAAATTAAAAGTAATTAACTGTAATTATATTCAGGTAACCAGCTTATCAATTTTACCCAGCTCCTTAACGGTACTCAGATGTTATAGCACTAAAATAAATAGCTTACCAACCTTACCCAACTCCTTAACTTATCTTGATTGCTCTAATACTCAAATAACTATCCTACTAAATTTATCCAACTCCTTAACGGTACTTAATTGCTCTTTTACTTCAATAACTTTCCTACCAACTTTACCCAACTCCTTAACTTATCTTGATTGCTCTAATACTCAAATAACTATCCTACCAACTTTACCCAACTCCTTAACAGAACTTTATTGCTATGAAACTCAAATAACTATCCTACCAAATTTACCCAACTTCTTAACAGAACTTTCTTGCTATGAAACTCAAATAACTATCCTACCAAATTTACCCAACTCCTTAACTTATCTTGATTGCTCATATACTTCAATAACTATCCTACCAACTTTACCCAACTCCTTAAATAAACTTGATTGCTCTTATACTTCAATAACTATCCTACCAAATTTACCCGATTCCTTAACATTTATAAACTCCCAATCTTTAAAAACTCAATATATCAATAACCTTTAACCTTCTACATAACCTTTTCTTTGTGAAGGTGTCCGCATGATAAACTTTATTTTATCCTTTTAATAAGCGAATATTTACGAAGATTTATGGAAATTTTTGCCACGATTACATTTAATTATTTTTTACAATAGATAATTTGTAATATTATTTTACTTTAAGATCATATGTTTTTATATTATGGAAATTAAAT